GTCAGTCAGGGCTCAGGGACACAGGGGACAGGGCCCAGCAGCCCCCCCTGCCCCGGGGACAGGTGAATTCCCCACCTGGGCTTTCTCCACCGACTGGCTCCTCCTGACGCCCCGGCGAGCCTCATCCTCCTCGGCGTGCTCCTTCTGCACCAGGGGACAGGGATGGGGACAGGGACAGGGCTGGGTCACCCCTGCCAGAGCCACCTGCCCCTCTCCAGCCCTCCTGCCCCCCTCGGGCCCCAGGGAGGGAGGATGAGGAGGGAGCCCTGGGTCTGGGAGGCAGATGAGGGAATTCTGGGCTTGGTGTCACAGGGTCAGGGGACGATTTTGGGTGGGAAAACCCCTGAGAGCAGAGTCCAGCTGCTCCCCAGCACTGCCACGGCCACCACCGCCCCGTGTCCCCAAGTGCCACATCCCCAGAGCTGTGACATCCCCCATGGATGGGGACTCCACCCCTGCCAGGGCTGCACAGCCCTTGCCATGAAGGAATTTCCCCAATATCCAACCTAAACCTCCCCTGGGTAACCTGGGGGCCATTTCCACTCGCCCTGTGCCCCCCACCCTCCCCTGGGGCCAGCACAGAGCTCACCCACTGCTGCTGCTCCCTGTCCCTGCTCTCAGCCTCCTGCTGCTGCTGCAGTCTCCTGTGGGGACAAATGGGTTAAAAATGAGCGTTTGAGACCTCACCCCACTATCCCAGCTCCAGGAATAGCCCCTGGTGAAGTGAAGGCCACCCCTGACTGCAGGGCCGGACGGTGCTGCAGCCACCCTCGAGGAGAGGAGCAGGAGCTGCTCCAAGCACTGGGATCATTCCAGGGAAATCTCCTCCCTGGGGACAGGGACGTGAGCACCCCATAGGGGAGCTGGGCAGGCTTCCCTGTGGGGCTGGAGCTCCCTGGGGCTCCGACACCCCAAAAACAGGGCCATGGGTTTGGGGGAGCAGAACTGGGAGAGCCCTGGGGCAGGATTCATGGGCAGGGAGGCTCAGCTGGACGAGCAGCCAGGGAGATGTTCCCTGCACAGCTGGATCAGGATCCCTCTGTTCTATTCGAGGAGATTCCCTTCAGGAATCCCAGCATGGGCAATGTGTGGAACCCTCCCCTCCCTGAGGAACAAACCCTGAGGAGTGGGGGCAGCTCAGAGAGGCTGTGACAGGGGCAGGGACAGCGGCACCAGGGCCACCCCGGAGGGCAGGGCAGGCTCTGAAGCCCCAGGC